GGTATATTAGAATAAATATTGTACATTATGTATAATACAAGTATAAAACAGAGTTAGAATTCCATAATATTGATCTTTTTTAATTAACTGGGCATTTGTTTACATAAAAAATAAGCCACTGTGTACTTATAACAGTAATACTAACACTAAAAAATACCATCAACATAAAAAGAACCTCTAAAATATTTTTGCATTAATGCTATAGGAATACTGTATAAATTGTAATTTATGTATGTATGTATGTATGTATACATATATGTGAAAAATGGTGCTCTATAAATTCCTATTGATTGATTTATTCTACTGAAGTATCTTTGCCTTTTCATTAGGATGATGAACCAGAAGATCGCCGTTGTACTCACAGAAAAGAACACACCAAAGACCGAAGGAGGGCTTCTCCACAATCAGGACCACTCCAGATAGTTGATCCCAGAAAGATTCAAGAGGAGATTCAGGGTAAAGTGGCAGCCGCGCCATTTCTAAATGCACTTTGTAATGATCGCACATTGCTACTGATGCAAATCCAGCAGCGTGGAGAATCTTACGATAATCTTGCTGGTAATGAGTTATACCGCACGGAATCGGATCCGTGCCGAACGCCAAGCAGTCAGAGTTCAGGAAGAGATGGTACAGTGAGTGCAGATCCAAATGACATCAACACATCTTTGACGACACTTGTAAGCCACAGTTCTATTGATTCCGATGTTCATAAGTTGCATTCTATGCACAATAGCTCAAGTTTATTAGCGTCGCAAAGTTTAGCGAAGCATCAGACAGTGTCTGGTTTGAACTCGCTACCAGATCAGTCACTATCACGTTTCGATGCCAGATATGATCTCCAAAGGCAAGCCAACAATCGATTAAAATGTCAGACTCTGCCGAGCAAAATGACGGCTAGTGAACAAATGCTGCTTCTTGGGGGTTCTGGGGTAATCAAGGAGGAATGTGTGTCGTACTCCGCACCTAATCTGTCCCCAGGGGCACAGGTAGCTATACCGGGATGTTCTTGAGTGGCATGGTAAAGAATCTACAAAATTAAATAAACCATATATTATATACTACAGTCTATAAAAATGTTAACATATAGCTGTTAAGTAAAGGTGTATAGAGGAAGCTGCACTGCATTTAGGAGACTCGCTCTGGTGGATCTGCGGCTCTAGAAACAATCTTCACGTAGGCTGCGTCGTAACAGTGGCACCCTCTAAAGATTTTCACAATCTGTTGTAATGTCCATAATATTGTGTGTGCTTGAAATATATCTATCAGGATTCCTATGCAATACTAATCATTTCAGCTTATAGGATTTACTATTGGGAAGACAAATCTCAAATGAAAAATTTTGTTGTGATCTAAAGTATAAGTTTAGATTTAGATGTATGTAAATTCATATCGTAATCGTTTCTGTTTGCTAAAATTTAGCAACATAAACAGAATATTACTTAACCAAAATCATCAACATTATGAAATTCCAACATTACACAATATCTCAGATATGCATGGTCTCTCATTGTGAGTTGAACTTTGACCCCTTGATATCTGTTTTTGATACGATAATTCCACACCTTGATTCATAGCAGTACAGTAATATTTTACTGGATGCAAGATTGCGTATAAGTTTGAGTTTTTAGTGACTTGAGTGCATAGTAAAAGTATGAATGCTCAACTTTAATGCTTCTGAGATGTGGAGTACAAGTCTAAAATGAACATACTCGAGTGTAAAATATAACTATGTATACTCGATATATAAGAGTTACTTAAGTGGCAGAGTATGTACAGTATAAACATTCAATATGAGTACTACTTGAATGCAGAGTGTATGAGTGCTCAATTAATTGTAATGCTATTTAATGCAGAGTATAAGTATGAATACTCAATATGAGTGCTGCTTGAGAACAGATTATAAGTGTGAGTGCTCAATTTTTTTAATATCATAATCATTATTACCATCAGACCCATTCCAAACTCAAAATGCTGCAGATATATAGACACTCACAACATTCATATTTTTGTCTGCCTCAATAAATATAAATGTTCACAATACATTAGGACAGGTGTTACCATTTATCCAGACATATTTGTATGTGACATTTCTGATTAACATAAAGCATTGTCACTATACACATGCATTTGATACTTGCATACAGGTGTTGTATGATACTGTAGTTGATGATAACTTGAATTATCTAGGTCTAAAATCAATCAGATTTTTTTTCCATCGGAATGTTTATTGGCTAGTGAAATGTACTTTATTGCTAACAGCACCTTGTGTACATAATGAGACATAAAAAAAAAAATAACATTCTATGAAAAGGATTTAAACTTCCATGTTTATTGGTATTCTAATAATATACCAAAATGCCATATTTTGCTATTGGAAATAAATAAAAGATAATTCCAGTTACATTAATACCAAAAATAATGGTTTTGATAACTACTTGTATTTTTAGACCGATTTTTACTGGTAAGCTTCATACCATTTTAATTATAAAGTGTAACTATATTAAGAATGCTATTTTCATATTTGATTTTTTTTTAAGGATATAATCTGGTTTGTGAAAATCTTTATAAGTCTACTATTCCTCCAGTGATAAGAGGAAAAAAAAAACCTTTGATACATGTTACTATAGACTTATTTATACAAACGCATTAATTCTGAAATTTGTATGTAAAATATATTGATATATTGCTTATATTTACCCCTTTAAATGTAAAATGTATGCATTTCAAATTCTATTACAAGCATCTCTTCTGTCTCAAATAAATGTACAATAAACAACTCATTTCTAACTTTGTACACTGCACACATTAGGCCTACATTATGGTCCATCAGTCACATTTCTGAACATACCATTTCATCTCATTCCATTTCAATACCATTTAAAAAAATTTGTATTAGTAATGATAATGGAAAACAATTACAAAATTGTAAAGCTAGGTATTATTGACAATAAATATTATGTCTTGGTTTTTTTTTTTCAACTATGATATAAATTACACTTCTATTTTGATATAATGACAAACGCTATTGTGTAGCTATTTTTATGTTATGATTATAATCAAAGTATTATTATTTATTTATTAGAATGTATAATTATTATGTAACCACTTAAGCATTATTTTGCTAACATCTCAGGCATCACTTAGATTTTCAAGTTTTTGTTTTAAAGAGGTCGGAATAGCTGATGGCCACAGATAAATCAGAGGTCCTTTTGTAAAGCCAATTTGATCCCAAAGTCTGTGTTTGTTATCTGATTACTGTACTTGTTTGTGCCTTGCTAGAATGCTTTTGTATTCAACCTTGTGGATTCGCAACAGCAGGATGCCTTTGAACTTTTTTTTACCATGAGGCCAAATAAAAAAAAAATGTGTTTGTCAACAGAGATTTTTTTTCATTACAACACACAGGGTCTCGGCATTTTGTAACCTTGATGTTTCGTAAGTCTGCCACACAGACATTTTGCAACCTAGACATTTCAAAACTTGAAATGCTTGGTGTGCAAAATGTCCAGTTGCCTGTAATTTGTCCACTTACTACCTTTCACCTACAGTTAAATACCTAGGCCTTGGCTCTATTACACAGATACTCATTGCTATGGGATGTTTGATCTTATGGAAAAGGGGTCCAAAATAGACAAGGGAGAAATTTGTTTTGTTTCAATTAACCTAATTCATACAGGAGTACCGTATTATTTTGTGATAGTAGTATATTGTGTCAGTAATACTGCTAGTGTAGCCTAGCAGTATTACTGACAATATATGGGAGCTCCAGGTGATAGCTTTAGAGAACAACTGTTTCTACTATGTCAGTTGATATGTTGATACTGAACTTGTGCTCTGTTAGTGTTACTAATATGACAACCTAAGGACGTACGTTTCTGGGGCAAATGTATTGTACACATTGTAGGCAGGCCAGTGTATAACAAATACAACATGGCGTAAGACTAGTTGTTGCTTTTCTAGAATGTTGGATTGTAGCCAATGAAGTTGGTTGCAAGCCAAAAGCAATAATACTGTATAATTGAGCCAGTTATGACTATGGGTAATCATTTCCTGGGCTGTTAAGACTTGCATATTGTATTTAGCTGAATGCTTTATGGTAAATCTATTACAATCCAGGGCCCAAGCATCCACCATTAACATAAGTTTTGTTGTATTATTACTGTTAATATATTATGTGCATGAAAATTATTTGTTTCAGTGCAGTTAAAATCTGAAGGGCATTCCTATAAGTTAATGGATTATTTGATTAATACTTATTTATCATCTGATCTTATAATATGATACGTTAGTCGCGTGATTGTTTATGAGACATATTGGTCATATGATTGATAAGTCACATGTTTGCATAATGTGGTATGTTGACCACATTATTGCATCTTTGCTAAACTGGTCACGTGATTGCATTATGTGGCATATTGTTGCATGATTTCTGTATTTCTGTATGTGATATTGATCAAAAATATTATGTTACAGGGTATTGTCACATGGTGACTATATGGAATTATCACATTGTTGCTCTAAATATTGGTCTTACAACTCTTATTTTTCTTCTATATTTACTAGGCTGTAAAATTACATACTGTATTATGATTTTTTTCAACTATTTATTATGTTACAATATATTTGCATGGGTTGTTGCTGCTAAATGCCTTCAAACATTGGATTGGCCTCACATACCTGAACAAAATGGGGTTGTTCCAGGGACTTGCCTTTCTAGGTCAGTGCTATGTGGCTGAGGTTCACAACAATATGCTTGCTGAAGATTTGGAACACAACATGCTGAAAATGCAGTGGGTTTTTCCAAGAAAATGACTAGTTATAATCTACATGTGTATTTAGATATCTGTCGCTTCAAATACTCATGTTTTTATTGCTACACACTGACTATTTATTCTATATACAAACAGTAGTTATTTTACATAATTTATCTCCAGGTCCGATGAAAAAAGGGGCCCAGTCGGCCCAATTCCCCCTTTGAAAATTTAAGTGAAAATTACATTAAAATTCATAGTACGAGAGTGCCATTTCTAGCCATGGTGGGTTTTACATTGTGTGGACCCTCAGTCTGTAATATCTGAATATTCTACATATCCTACTAAACAATTGAAACGGTAATTTAGATTTATAGGTTGGTTTATTTATATGCATGTCTTGAACCTCTTGCTAAGATTTGGAATTCAGGATTATACATTTGCATTTTATTAACAGTATTATTGGCTCACCCAACCTGTGTTGTAAGATATATGCATAAATTTATAAGCCTGCAACGTTGCAGGTTAAATATAGATGTACACGGTATATTATGATTTTTTTCCCCCCACATCATGCATTGATGTATGTCCCCAAATATATGGTATGTGGCCCAGGCACAGTGAAAATTGTAAGTTGGGGTTGGTCAGATGTCATTTTTGGCCATATTGAATGTATGCATTCATTAATATTATCGTCACTGGCAATTGATAGGACAATATTTTTTATTGGCCGAGGCAATATAACGCAACATACATACGGTACATTATTTGCACGTTATATTTATCTAGGTGCATCTTCCCCAAATTATTAACCATAAAGTCTGGGTCTACAGTATATAACAGTGATGTAATAAATGCTCAAATGTTACGCTGTTTTTGATGAGTATACTTGTGGCTGGCACGCCAGCCCACCCTGTATCACGAGTATACTCATCGCTGGCAGCGAACGTGTTAATGGTCATTTATGTTTGTGTACTTTTATCTTGATTCACAGATTTTTCTGAGTAGTTTAAACATCCTTTATTATTAATTTGGCTGGGTGTAATCAAATATTGAATTGAGCAACTTTCTTTTATAAGGCATCATAAGTGCCTATATTATGTGACATGTTCTCTCAAACATCATTCACCATTAACTTTAAATTCTGCTTCCAATTAAAGTGACCAATGGAAAACCTAATTAAATTAATTTAAACCAACTTCACAAGAAATGATCAAGACATGTTAAAACAAATTTAATTTTATGTTGGAACGAAGGCGTACTCAACAGTATAGATGTACAGTACTGTAATTGAACAATATGTGGTTGTTCCAGGGACTTGCCTTTCTAGGTCAGTGCTATGTGGCTGAGGTTCACAACCATATGCTTGCTGAAGATTTGGAACACAACATGCTGAAAATGCAGTGGGTTTTTCCAAGAAAATGACTAGTTATAATCTCCATGTGTTTTTAGATATCTGTCGCTTCAAATACTCATGTTTTTATTGCTACACACTGACTATTTATTCTATATACAAACAGTAGTTATTTTACATAATTTATCTCCAGGTCCGATGAAAATTAAGGGGCCCAGTCGGCCCAAGTGAAAATTACATTAAAATTCATAGTACGAGAGTGCCATTTCTAGCCATGGTGGGTTTTACATTGTCTGGACACTCAGTCTGTAATGGGGCGCCTCCCCCCTCCTCTATTTCAAATATCTGAATATTCTACATATCCTACTAAACAATTGAAACGGTAATTTAGATTTATAGGTTGGTTTATTTATATGCATGTCTTGAACCGCTTGCTAAGGTTTGGAATTCAGGATTATACATTTGCATTTTATTAACAGTATTATTGGCTCACCCAACCAGTGTTGTAAGATATATGCATAAATTTATAAGCCTGCAACGTTGCAGGTTAAATATAGATGTACACGGTATATTATGATTTTTTTTCCCCCACATCATGCATTGATGTATGTCCCCAAATATATGGGTATGTGGCCCAGGCACAGTGAAAATTGTAAGTTGGGGTTGGTCAGATGTCATTTTTGGCCATATTGAATGTATGCATTCATTAATATTTTATGCTAACATGTGTATATTTAGGCCTACTGTGTTTTTCAATGCATTGAATCAATTCTTTGATCACAGTATGTGATGTGATGCTTCCAGATCAAGTATTCACTTGTCAGTTTCAGTAAATTAGTGATGTTGAGTCACAGCACTGGGAAATTACAGTGTTAAGATTAGATAATATATTCTAAATGCATTATTTAAGAAACTATGGGTGGGCCTGCTTTTGTGAATGCATTTGAGTATAAAGAATTTAGCAATTTAGGCAGTGACAATGAGGAGGGTAGCATACCCCTTCCCTTCAGCATGCTCCACTCGCATGCATCATGTAATGGTTACATTGTATGGTTGGTTATAATTTAGGCAAACAGGGTTATATATTTGTATACAAATTTTGAAGTAGTTCTTTTTTTATCGCTTGTATTTTCAAACATCTTGAATTAATTATTCTGTCGATGAGTATGTTGATGCGTACATATGCAGATTTGTGTCAATTTAATTTCCATGTGTACAAATGAAAATAAATATATATTATATTATATCTACATGAGTATTGTGTGTGAGTCCATATTCTGTCGAAAGACTAAAGTGGTGTGGACAGGAGTGTAGGCTGGTTTTGGCCTGGGGTGCGAAACGGCCTAGGGGTGTGGAAATGGAGAATGTGGAACAAAATCCCTATTCCAATGAAAACTTAATGGTAATTTTTAGTATTTTAACACACTTAGTGGAACTAATTTGCCACCATAGGGGGGTGCGTCCTCGTCCTCATCCCTGCACCCCTCCCCCAGCCCATGTGTGCATGCATAAAATACAGTACAAAAAAAATAGTAATATACTGTATAGGAATAAGTAGTTTTCGCCGCACAATGGATGACGTCATAATTTATTCATCTTGCATTGTAGAGTACGTTAATTTCAGGATTTTACTACGTGCCTGATGTTAGTTACGGGTTTGCTCATGCATATTTTGATTTGTTTACAAAAGGGGCGGAGCAAATGCATTGTAAGTTGGGTACTAATGTTAAGGTTAACGTCGTGCGGCCAAAACTACCTATTGCCTGGTTTCCATAAAATTGCTACACTGTCGCTACAGTGCTTTTGCTGCAATTGTATCCACTGCATGAAACTGCAAATAATGACAATGTGAAACTGGCTAGAATAATCACTTTAACACATTCGCTGCCGTGCATTTTGTACAAGTTTGCCCTGAATGCCAAAACACGTTTACATATGAAAACATATCGTCACTGGCAATTGATAGGACAATATTTTTATTGGCCAAAGCAATATAACGCAACATACATACGGTACATTATTTGCACGTTATATTTATCTAGGTGCATCTTCCCCAAATTATTAACCATAAAGTCTGGGTCTACAGTATATAACAGTGATGTAATAAATGCTCAAATGTTACGCTGTTTTTGATGAGTATACTTGTGGCTGGCACGCCAGCCCACCATGTATC